GAGCTCGTCAGAAGCATTTCTTTCTTTCCTCAGTACCCAATGTATAATAGCTGTCTTTTGGGGAAGGATGCACTCACTTTGTTTCCTTAGGGCGTTTGCTCCCAGTATCTGACTAGGAGAAACTGCCCTTATCAACGGATACAAGGGATTCAGGGATTCTGACAGACTGACGCCCGTCAGATAACGGCCTCGGTCCACCACTCACCAATTGTGCAAAATGAGAATGAATCTTTGTGCAGAACATGGGAAGATACAATGCCACAAGCTTAGTCTTTTGTGCAGTGGTCAGCGAAGGGATATCACTCCACCACTCACCACTGCACGAAAGAACAAGGTTATGGCGGTGTATCTTCCCAAGTTGTGGGTCAAGATCCATTCTCATTTTGCACGTTATCTGACGGGTGCGAGGGTCAGACCCCTCAGCAGCAAGACAAGGACCCCAAAGACAGCTCCAGGCCGCTCTACGTGAAGACGAGCCTGTTCAATTTCCATTTCTGGCCAGGACGAGGCCTTTCTGAGAATATTGGGGGCGCCAGACAGTTACTGGGCGCCAGTTGGTTGAGCACGTAATTTTGGGGCCGTGTGAGCGAGACGTCCAAAGCCACACATTTGACTGAGCCTAACTGTCGGTACCACGCCCTGGAAGCAGCTTGAAAACTGGGCCTGCATGCTGGATACTGGGTCTGCACGTGTTCACCCCGATCGGTACCGGTCTGGGCCGCACGCAGCAGCATATGACTCTGCGGGATTCAGGCTGCTGGCAGTCAATGCGGTCACGCTGCTGTGTGGCAGACTGGCTGGCTAGCGCGCGCGCGCGCGTGCGGAGCGCTGGGCGAGCAGCTGCTGTGGCAGCTGCTGGGCGAGAGGGGAGGCAGGCGCCATAGCCAGGCGCTCTGCCCCATACTGGCAGTGGTGGATATGGTGGACCTTCGGCGGTTGTGAGCTGTGGGAGAGAGAGAGAGAGAGAGAGAGAGAGAGAGAGAGAGAGAGAGAGAGAGAGAGAGAGAGAGAGGTCGGTCATTGGGAGTCATGTGGAGGGCTGCATTTGGGAGACATTCTTCATGTGCTGCGACTTCGGTGCTGATTTGGCTGGTTGTCATCAACGTAAATAGGCTAGGAGTAGGCTGGTTCATTATGACTCTGAGACTTCTGGCTATTTCCATGTGATTGCAATTCGAATTTCTGCTTCTTGCTTTCAATCATTGTCCTTGCAATTTGGTATTGGAGTTGGTTTGACCATCGCCGTCAGCGTCGGTGCATTTGCTGGCGTGGCACTTTGGGACGGCGACATTGGCCGCCGTGATCATTGTGGTGTGAACGCATCTGGCGCTTGTGAAAAACGGTCCCCGGGTAGAGGGGGAAGCCGCTGGAAGGGTTCTGGTCGCTGCGCGTGGGCAGATTGGTGAATGGGGCATTTGTGGAATGGTGAGAGTACGCTGACATGGCATTATTGCTGAGGAGGACCTCGAAATTAGGGCTGCGGGAGTGAAAGGATTTCATGCTGTTTGAGTGTCCCAAGTCCCGGTCCCAGTGTCCCAATTGATCCCAGTCCCACAATTAGACAGGCTCAGCGGTCGAAGTGTCGTTCGGAGTCCTTAGCTCTGGTAGGGTCCGGTAGTCGAAGCGTCGTAGGTTTTCAGGAGTCTGGCCCGGTACCCGACATAAAAAGTCCGAGGTCCCAAAGTTAAATTTTGCAGCCGCATGAGACAGTTAAGGTCAGATATAAACTTTTGGTCAAAACAAAAGACCCAGCTCCGGTAATCAGAAACAGATGGCATAAATTATTAGGACAGGAAGCTGACAACCTCTCCCAGATCCCCTGGAAAAGATACAAAACTATAAAACCAATCAAAATCAGAAGCCTTCAGTGGCTTATCACATATGCCGCACTGCCGGTCAATAAATGGTTACATACAAGGCGTCACAAAAACGATCCTAGCAGCTCGGACCTATGCACGGTCTGCACTGGAGGGAGCCCGGAAGACATAGTACATTGCCTACTCTATTGCAGTGAAGCCACGGAATACTGGGCAAGGGCATCAGCTCTATGGGACTCTCTCTTGAGTACGCCCTTCCCTGAACATCCCATCCAACTTCTTCTCTGGACTAACCTCCCTGACCATCTCAAAATGACAGAACGACTGTGGTTTGGACTAATCAGGAAAGTGACACTGTGGGTCATCTGGAAGGAAAGATGTGGCAGAACCATTGAAGGCCTCTCTAACCCGCGAGAAAAGGTGTGGGGGGAAACAAAAACCTTGTTGCAGGCAGAAATCCAGAGCAGATGGTGGAGACAGAGGCGGTCGATGCCGGAGGACGAGGACATACAAGATAAGGCCAGGAAGAGATTCAGCAGGCTATGGCTGTTGGACGGCAAGGTGGCGGAACTTCGGGATGATAGGCTACTCTGGAAGGATTGGAATAATTCAGAATCCAGTGGGCGGAACCAGATGGCAACAGTGTTGGAAAGACATCCGAGCTAAGCGAAACCTGGTGCACCCGAAGAAGGAAAAAACAGAGAAGAACAGGATAAGGGTCAACAACTTGAGGCCAGGAAGAGGTCAGCAGATAGGTGATGAGGGAAAGGAAATCGGTGGAGCCGAGAGACGAGGAATAAACAAAGGAAATAGAAAAGGGTCTCCATAACGGGCAAGGGAACTCGATTCAAAGTACAGCTTCCGGGCAAGCAGTACAAGGAAGCTTCCTAGGTTTGGAAGGGGAGCGGGGTCGCAGAATCCGTAGATGAGGGATTAGGGTTTAGGGTTCAGAGTTGGGGGCCAGAAGGGAAGATAAGGTGGGACAAGAGGTGAGTAGGTCTTTTGGGTAATCTTGGCCACAGAACTGCTTTTCGAGTTTTCTAGGTGGGACAGAAGCTCTTTATAGGTGATATAGCTCTATCTGGCATATCCGTTTATCAGGTCTGAGAGGAAACAGTGAGGTATGGCAAGCTGACAGTCAATCCTCCACCAAGGTGGAGCAATCAATGCTGCTCAGGGGTCCTTCGTCCAGACGGAAGGAAGCATGAGTATTTCTTATTGTAATACTTACTCTGGCTTGCCGGTGGAATAGGAACCGGACTGACGCTCCCCAGAATGGAAAGGAGCCAGGACCATAATGGCCCTGTTTTTGTTATAAAAAAAAATAATAATAAAAAATTGCAGCCGCATCCTCGGAAAGTTCGGTAGGTTCCTCAACTGGCAAAGTGCAGCCGACAGGCCGCAGTGACCGGTACCGGTCCGAAGCGGACCAAGATCTCACAACAACTGTTATTTAAAGATGACACAGTGCCGCTTGACGTCACTAGTCAATTCGTATAGTGCAGAAGCTCTGCTGTAGCATTTGTGCAAACCAGCGAGTTGGGCACAGTCGGAGACTGAGGAAGGAGAAGGGCGATCGGGCTCCATAACCAGGGTTGAGCAGGAGGAAGAAGACCGCCATTGCCAGTAGGGTAGCAAGAGAGAGTGAGGTGAGTGCATTAAGAGTGTGAGTGTGAGAAATCCAGGACAGAGGGTGAGAGATAGAAC